GGTGAATAATAATTACTGTTATAATAATAAAGAGTCCTTATTCATAGTTTTAAATAGACGTTAAAACTTATAAGGTACTTATAGAGTTAAAAACTGTCGCAATAATAACAATTTTTAACTATAATCCAACTTGTAACCAAGGCAATTTTGAGCATTTTGTAGTTTCGGGCAGAAACAGTCTCGCATGCAAATGAGAAAAGTTAGAAAGGAGTATTGATATTCATTACTAACATATGCAGAATCAAATAACAAAGGTACTGGACGTATATCTATAAGTGACAATCGTCTGTTTAAATACCTTACACGATGTTGGCACTACAGCTTAAATATATTTACAAATCAAAGTAAGGAATTTGATCATTCCTTGAAAGATGCCTGTCTGTGGAAATAACTTCGTTGCCTGGATTCTATCACAGTGGAGTTAACTAAGGAATATGAAGACTAAGAATATAAAGACTAAGATTACGAAATAATGTCTTAATGACGTAAGGCAAAATCCTTGAAGAATATCATTGAAGAATTAGACAAAGTTTAATGTAAATCGATGTGATAAAAAGTGAAATTTTGATTAGAAAAGTTGAAACACAAAAGAGAATTTTGAGACAAATGTTGGGCTAAAAGAAAGAGGAGACTTACAAACTGAATTGTTTCTTGGTTAGATTACCGAAGGAAGCAGGCAAAATGTCTGGAAGAGATTTGTTTTGTTGGCCTCTTAATATTTACATTATGTACACATAATTTACCATAATATCAGCCGGCATTTTCAGGCGTGCAAGGAATTCATAATTCTCTCCTCTCTACCCGTCCTTTACAGGCGCCTGACGCTATCGCATTCATTGGTACTACGGCGGCTAAAACCGTGGGCCAATAAATTTGTCACGCCTTGTGTAAATATTTCACAACGTCGCCTGTGTCCTTTCGTAAATCTGACAAAACCTTAGTGGTTTGTGTCCTCGAAAGAGCCGCTAGTGTGGCTTAAATACAGGCGTTAAGTGCATGTTTGTAAAACGTCCTGAAGAGGTCTACGAGAAGTTACTAAAGACCTTTTGGCATTCCCTACAAAAACACATAGATAAATTGTTACTCATGCTGTCAAATCAAATTTCTTTTTAAAGTCTCTTGTCTTGAGGAATGGAAGTTATGAAAGTTTTAAATAACCCTCACTTTTCACAAATTATATAAACGACTGAATATTGAAAAAATTACCAGATTTTAAGTTTTTCTAATCACGCTATTTCCTTCTCTATAAACGAGAGCAAATGGATCGCTCAAATCACCGACAAGAATACACCTGCTTTGATTGAATGTCTTTACTGCAGGGCCAAACAAATTTCTCAGAAGCTCTCTTAGAAGACAAAATGTGCAAAGTTATAACAAATCAATGCAACTTGAACAACTAATTTCTTTAAAGCCTTTACTTTTGTTAAGAGAGTGCGAGTTACTTTGCTAATACTATTCGCATTGATATTATTGCTATTCATCTACTAGCTCACTGAACAGGGTTACAGTGTCTTGCTTAAAAAAGCAGAAGTCTTACGTCACGCCCTCAAGTCTTCTCCCGAGAAACGCCTGAAACTCGATGTGCATTTTGTTTGTTTAAAGCAGTCAGGTTACTAGTAATCCAGGTCTAACAGTTGATGGAGGTTTAAAGTTTTCTTTCATGGGTAAAGTATTTTCTTTGCTAATTTTTAGAGGATTTAGATCTTGTAAGCCGTCGTCAAAAGTTGAGAGAGAAAAAATGGCTGAAGTTTATAATTGAGTAACACTAATTTTGGACTAGCTTGGTCATGCTTTGAACAACCAGGCAATAGTTAAGTTTTTCTGTAGGTAATCATGTCGGGAAGTAATATCGCGCTTGGCACTAAAAGAGACAATGATCTCTTGCCACTACTATTCAACTGAAGCTAACTGACACATACACATGCTATGACCGGATTAGTCAGTACTGCAATATCGGAAATTACAAACTCCTAGGGAAAATAAGTTGTAGATATAGTAGGAGCCACAGTTCTTTACTTGAATGTAGACCCAGCTTTCGCAACAGTCTCCAAACCCGTGAATGCAGACTTTTCTTCTGACTGTACCCTCGGCCACTGTAGGATGACGACCACTCAACCAGATAGGAAAGCCTGCATCACAACGGTACAGCGGTGGACATGTGGTCACCATTTTTGAGCCTGCAGCTCCTTGGAAGCGATACAAGCCATTGAGTGTGTTGTCACATTTGGGGTTTACTGTTACGTAGTCATATTTTCTGTCTGCATCTGTCAG